TCAGTGGGTATACTGGCACCAGTGGGGGATAAGAAATACACAACACAGTGAGGTATGTGCTTATTCTGTAGATCAAAGCCTATTTTCGGGAGCTCTCTTGAAGTTGGTAGAGCTGGTAACAGCGTACCTTGTACCTTGTTAAGATTGCCGTGCCATTCGTTCTTAAAAGGTGCTGCGATGGAGTCCTTAAACCTTCCATGTGTAAAACATTTGAGTACAAGTCCTTTTGTTTCAGATGTTTGAGACTGACTGTAGGTTTTTGTTATTGTGTGGAGTTTTTTTTCTGTTTTCACTGATGAAACTAATCAACTAAAGTTGAACACCCTCTGCCCCTGATCTTGACGGATAAAATCTGATGATGCTTGTTAAGTGGATTGATTAGTGTTCCTGATAGCTCATCGTGCTGCTTTGACGTTGGAAAGATAATGGAAACAAGTGAGTGGCAACCAGTCACCTGCCACAGTCCATATGGACTGCATGGGAACTTAAACTGAAGTCAGGGATATGCAGTTGATAATGAGTCTGGTTTTGCCATGTTTAAAGTAATAAAAAAGATTTAGAAACAAGTCTGACATCTTTGAGAAACCTTCATGCCTGTAGTGTTATAAATCATGTAAAACCTGTTTATATCTGATTTAACTGCAGCTGATCTATAAACATGCTCCACTGTTGCAGTTATAACTTGCAAAAATGTATATGATCACTTACTCTAGGGAATTGAAACTTAGTAATTGTAATGCACTTTATTGCTATGTGATGCTTATTAAGCCTTAAAGTGAACACTGTGTTATTACATTGACCATCCTTGGAGAACATAAAATGGTAGCAGAATGTGATGATCTCTGCTTTGTAACAGGACCATCTTGCCTTCTATTTCAGAAGACAGTTGCTTGAGGTCTCTAAGTTGTAGGTAAAAGACCTCTTTGGTACTTCACCAACGCCCCTTTTAATCTTAGGTACTCACAGTACCGTATCACAACTTGATAAGTCATTGACATACTTTTTGTAGACTATAGTGACTTTTATCTTCAGATTAAAATTTCTTTTTTAAAAATGGGGCTTTGGGTTTTTTGTTTTTTGATATCTGCTGGATTTTATGTCTTTCCCAGTTGGTTATTTTAAGTTATTTATGTTTTAAAAAAAAAATCCGTAATCTTGAATCATAGTACAAGCTGATTTGCTTAAGGGCACTTGCAGCATCAGAGCCTGAAAATAATAATAAAAAAAAGTTTGTCACTGTCATCTAGTCTAGTTCTCAAATGACTAATGAAAATATTCTTATTTATCATTATGCTCTAATGGACTCTCTTTCTCATAAGTTTATGTTACTAGCCTCTGAGTCTCTGCTGTTTTGATTTTGATGTAGATCTGATGCTGTTCTTGTTTCCAACTATTTATTCTCGAGAGGTTATTTCTGTATAAGTCTTCAAGTATTCCAGCATCTCGGCAATTGTTTGATAATAGATAATTTTGCCTCTCATGTCCTAGCAGCATCATTAACGTATATGTTGTTTATAGAGCCTTTGCAAGGCTGGTTGACAGCAGTTCTTCCAGGGTAATTCTAAACACATTTATAGGTCTATCTTGGCAGAGGGATTACTGCCAGGGATTTCTTTTAAGTATATTGCTCTGCTTGTGATAGTTTACGCTACTCTATTAATGGCAAATATTTCTTATTCATGTCTAGTCATGTCAATAAAAAGTTAAGTCTTTACTGCTATCAATCTTAAAATGAAGATTTCACAAGGAAAACATTCAGATAAACTCACTTCGGAGAAATTCATGTTGTACAAAAATCCTACCGAGCTGATGATAATGATCTTGTCTGATTTTACCTATAATCTTTAGCCTACGTCAGTGACCAAAAAGAACTACAGGAACTTCATAAATATAGAAGAAAAATGCAAAGATTTCCCCCACTGATAGAAGCGTGTATGTGTGTGTAGGGACTGTTCAGGTTGCGGGTAGGAAACTCGGGACATTGCTGAAATGGAGCAGTAGTGAGCTGCTTTTCGGAGGCGGGTTTTTTCTTTCAAGAAGAGATTTTTTTTTTTTTTTTCTTTCTTCCAATTTTAACATATGCAGGTAACACTTGCATTTTTAGGTTGACTTCTTGCTAAGAGTGAAAAACACAGTGTAAAAATCCCAGAAAACTTAATGAACTTGACTTAAAAGGAAATATTAACTCTGTTAGTGAAGGCACAGCAGGGCCACGGTTGGGAGCTTCACTAAAAAGTGATGATGTAATGCAGGGCTGGCCTTTGAAAGCTTGTCCTATCTATTTGTAGTATGACAACATAATTTAAAAATAGTTTCTGGGACTAAGAAAAGGTAATGCTTTGATTTGAGGATTTTTCTTTTTTTTCCCCCTTGGAAAATTCATCTATACTGGAAACAAAACTTATTAACTCTCCACATCTCCAAGGAAATCACAAATACCTTTTTAGTAGACATTTGTTAACTGAACTTCAGCTTTCATCTTTTCAAAGAATAGGAGTTTCCAGTAAATGCTCCTACTGTGTAGAGTCTCATAATACCTTAGCCTTTAGGGCTGTGTCCAGGGTTTGGCCAAAGGTTATGTTACATGCAAAATAGTCAGACTTCCCAGTGGTTTTATTGTAACAATTTTTGTTAGTAGTTGGCATTTTGAATAGATTTTTACTGAGTGTGTTTTGGTTTTGAATTTTTGTGCAAGTCATTTGAAAGTTGAAACTAGAATATGTTTTTGACGTAGTGTCGTACTTAGATGAATTATAGATATTATTTGATAGATGTGTCGATTCTCAGATTAGGACATATTTGAAAGTGCTTTGTAATCCTTATTAGTATTATATTAATCCGTTTTTTTGATAGTTCAAATGAAAGGACCCTTGTGTTTTTGAAATAACTACTGTTATTATTTTTTAAAGTTCAGGAAATGTTTATCCGTCCTTACACTTTGCCAACAGAGTTTCTTGCAAAGTCTTGTGAAATTGAGTGATACTTTCTCTGCAAGTTGAGAAGAGCGGGCAGTGAAGATAGCTTACCCTTCCTTTTCCTCTTTGAGAAAAAAAATTATATACAACAACAGCTCCAGGCACTGAGTGGTCAGTGTCCTACAGCCCTACATGAGCAGTAGCGCTGCTGTAAGTGAGGGGAAAGTTCCCGTCTATTTGATCCTTGCTGCCTCTGTTGACATTGTCAACAAGTGTGTCTTTTCCTAACGTGGGTGTCTGTCTATACTGGGAACAGAATGAAGTTTTTAGCCATAAATAATGAGCTGCTCGCAATTATTAGCGTCCTGGACTGGACTCAGAGGGCTTACTTGGATGAAAGGCATCCATTATAGTCCAATTATTATCTAGATCCTGTTATTATCTTTTTTTTTCCTTTAAACTACGCTACCTCTTTTTAGCTTTTATTTGCTCTGACAGAAAAATTATAACATTCTGCTCGATTAAAAAGAATTCACAGTGTATTCCGTTTACCCTGATTTACTTCTCTTTAGTGTGGTGGTAGGAAGTCTGTTTTTTAGTATTAGACACCAGGAAAGAACTGCTTTAAAAAGGTTACCAACATTTATGTAGTGAGAAGAATAAATGGGGAAAAAACCCCAACCCTGTGTTTTAATGTTTGGGCAGTGTGTTACGTTTTTATCTGTTATGTTAATTTAAAAATCTTTACAGAGCAGAGCTTGCAGAAACGCTGGGGTTCTTTGCTGTAGTTACATTCCTGTTGCAGCATGTTGTCAGGGTCTGATGTGACATCAATCTAGATGTAATAGATACATAGTTAAGCAGTTTATTTTGGGATCTGAAACCCTTCTAAGAATAAACAGGCTCTCCTTTCAACAGGAAAGGACAAATAAATTAAAGCAGGATACCAGGGAAGGAAAAATAGAGGGGAAGAAAAAAGAGGAAAGAGTATCTAAGGAGAACATAAAGGGAAAACCATCAGGCTGGTACTGGTGGAGTTCAAGGCTGGGGTGAAACATGTGGAGGGACTGTTGCGTATGGATTCTCTGAGCAGATTGTAGTGCAGTGGCAAGCAGGTGATGTGACATACTGGAAGGCTGAATTCTTAGAGTCTATCCTACCAAAATAGACTTGTTTAATTGTCCTCACTAGCAGTCCAAGGGTTTAATTCGTTGGGAAGGAAAACAAGTAACCTTTTAAATTTTCTAATGTAATTTCTTAGTTGTGTCTGAACATTGACAGATGATTTTCCATAGTGCCCCAAAGCTTAGGTTCTTCAGTATTTCCCCATGATTATTTTAGTGGGATCACTAAACCATGGATAAGGATGTGACTTATTCTGGTGGTGTCATATTTATACCAGGAGTCTAATCGTAGAAGTCTGTATGGGAAAAACTCACCAGGTCAGCCAGCCAGTTCTCTTTCCAGTGCATCATAAATTACTACAGCAGTATACAAATAAAACTTAAAGTTGTTGAACTTCAATGTGTACTGTACATCGGGTTTATGCATTGTTGTATGAAAGCAACAGATCCCAATAGAACATTGCACCAGACATCTATCTGTTGTGTATGAATTTAGAAGTAGATTTCAAACCTAGAAGTGTTTAAAAATAATTTTATTCACCAGCAAGTCTCTACTAGTGTAACCTTGAGAAAGCAGATTTAATTTCATGGATGTTAACCCACCTGCCCCAGTTGCTGCTCTGTAGGTTTTCTGTCATGACTTTCTTGTAATGTTTCTGTTGTTTGGCTTTTTTTTTTCCCATTTAGCTGCTGACATAGCTATTAAGCGACTACTTTATATAGGGGAATATCTGAAGTGAAACAGATTCTGGTGTTCCATTTATTTAGTGAACAGGACAGGAGTCTCCTAAGTGGAACTGTGGCATCAGTACTTGACTTTTTGCTAGTGTTTGATCCTCTCCTCGGGTGGAGGCCAGTTTGTGGTTACCCACAATGGATTTGAGAGGCTGCACACACAACTTCTTACTCCATAGGAAGGCAGATGAGGAAACTCACCTGTTTGAGAAGAGAGTTACTTGTCATGGGTGACTTCAGTGTGCCACCCGAACTGTGCGCCTTATTCAGCACCTTGGCGTTGTTTGTAGGAGCAGAGCGCAGTGTAAAGGCAGAGTACGGTCCCCGCTGCAGGTGAGGACAGAGGCAACCAGCTCTTGCAACCCTCAACTCTTTTCAAAGGTAAAGCACTGCAAGGTGGTTTCACAGGTACAAGTGAAGCATACAAGCGCGAGTATGCAAAGCATATCGTCAAAATTCAGTTATCGATAAGTAACCTCATTTGATTCTTTGAATACTGACACTGCTATCCAAAGTGTAAATAAAATGTATTAAATTGCAGACTTTATTTATCAATAAAGCATCTGAAGAGTTTCTTTGTACATGATTTTCATCATTATATTGATACATCAGTATCTACTTTGCTTAATTTTCATGTAATTCAAAAACTACTTAGCATGTCAAGTACACAAATAAATTACTTGGTAAGTTGCAGTCTTTCTGAGAAGAAACAAAATCATGAAAAGGCAGAAGCGTAAACATCTTCTGGTTTTAATAAAATCAATGTCTCATTTCACTAGAGATAGTGAATAAGTGGAAAAGAATCTGTTGAAATCACTTCTTATTTTGTTATTCTCAGCTGAAAAAATCAGAAAGAAATAACTTATCTTTAGTACATCCCATAAGAGGTAAGAGAAAGTGTATTGGGTTAAAATTTGTGATGGCTCTTTCAAAACAAAACTCTTCTTCAGTGTCAGGGAAGAGTACTAGGATAGTTTGCTTGTAATTTTTGTTTTACTTGATGAAATTACCAAAGATGTTTTTGTTATTTGTCTGATTTGATTTCCTGTTGTCTTTTTTTCTCCCCCTTCATTTGTGAGCCCTATATTCAAATTAACTCTTTTTGCAGTGGTTGCTTCTTTTTGTAAGTAGTTACGTATTCGGGCTGTTCTCTGTACAAGGTTTTTAAATCCTGTCTCCTTCTCAAGGTCAGGTCAGGGTTCAAAGTTAAACTGGCAGCTGCGTGTCGGTCTTGTACGTTATATAGGAAGGCTGTGATGTTAAGTATGTCTTCTTCAGCCCTTGAGCATCGCATAGTTCTATGAAAAAGTTTTATTACGCTAAAATGAAGTCTTTTTTACCAGGAAATGAAAATTCCTTTTGCACAGCGCTGTGGACACCACCACAGCAGTACCACGGCCTTAGAGGTTTACAGGAGACATGGTGACTCATTTCCTCCTGTCTTCACTATCACTTGCCACGTGAGGGTCCGGTAGTGCACCAATCTCCTTCAAAGCAGAAATGAAATTATGAATGAGGGGATAACTTCTTATATCTTCTTGAACGTATTTGTTCTCCCTGTGTTTTGTGATATACAGTGACATTGCCCTAAATTGCAAAGTGATATTTTTGATTCTTTCCTGCCACCTCAAAGACACAGATGCTGCTATCCAGCTTAACTAGCGTTTCCAGTCTGTTTCCGAGCACTTACATTTTTGCTTTCAGTTTAAATCCTCTTACCTTCTTAGAGTTTAAAAAAAAATAAAATCAGAATTTGCTAGTTATGTACTTCCTAATGCCCAATCATGGCAGAGTTAGAAGAACACTAGAAAACTGTACAAGAAGATTGTGAATGTAAATGTATAACGCAGTTTTACTTTATAGATTTACAGCAACAATCCTTTCAAAGGATAGGAAGGCAAGCTCGTTGTCTGGCATAGCATACCATACTTGCATTTCAAAGACCAAATGTACGTTAACACATGACACTACCAATCGGTATTCTAACATCTCAGTGGGCTTAAAAGCAAGAGATAATTCAATTATGAAAGTGTTCTTAAAAAAAAAAAAGTCACTCAAGTGAACATATCTGTAACATGACTTTTCAATACTTCTATAAATTTTATTGACATAATTTTTATTGTAATGAAATAGCGTTATGAATAACAATTATTCTGACCATAAAGAAGATTGTAGAGATTTTTTAGTTTGGATCAAGGGATTTGCTTGGGTAGCTCTTATCTTTGTGCAACAATAGTGATTTTAATATGTAGGAAATGAGATACGTGTGTTATCAGATCTGTGGTCTATATATTTTGGTATTTTATTGCTGGAGAAGGTTACACTTCAGTGTCTACTGATGCAGGTTTCTTCCAACTCCGCACAGCTGATGGCTGTTTTTATTGTATGACCGTATGAACCTTACTGTTTAGTCTAGAACTGTTGTGGATATTTCTGTTGATCAATTCTTAAATATTTTTAATATTCTTTAACTCAACAGCGGCCCCTGATTGAAAGGCTAATTGCATTCTGGTTTTAAAAAATAATATCGTTATATTTGCATCGGTCTTTAATCTCAAAGGGGATGGGGGATTCCTTGGTCTTCTATAGTGAGGCAGGGTATTAGAAACACCTGGCTGCTTGTCTTCTGTTGTTTTATATATAATTTTGTAATGTTGCTGATCGTTCGTTCTTTCTTGAAGCTTTACAGTTCTAACCGGGATTTCTTCTTGAACCTAAGTCTCTTCAAGTCTTTAATTTATATTGTCCTTCTCTGCGTCTTTTCTATTTGATGTATCCTTTTTCAGATGGGGGTGACCAAAACTGAACACAGAATTCAAAAGTGAACACACTCTATTCAAGGTGAGGGAATATCACCAGTTTTATATAAGGCATAATAATTTTCAGTATGTCTTTGTCATTTAAAAATAAATACTGATATCCTGATTATTTTTGTTCCCAATTGTAAAATATTCTTCTCAAGTAAACTGTGAAGTTGTATAGATTTTTTTGTTGTTGTTGTTGGAACGTTGGTTAATTTATTACCTATTAATTCTTACAGGTAATTAATGAATGAATAATGTACATTAATTTTCACTATGGTTTACTATACACCATGTATTCTCTACTGCCTGTCATTGTGTTGATCTAATTGCATGTTTGAAATTCCCTCTGAAATGCACCAAATGCAATAGAGAACCAACTGTTCTTTATATCCTTCATCATCCACAGATTTTGTCATGTCATAGTTCATTCCCATTGCATCCTTCAGATCATTGAAGCATACTTGCCTGTGTTTTTTTTTCTGAGTATTGCCACCTTGAGTTGGATCCCTCTAGCCTAGTCTTTCCTATGTTCTTGCAGATCTTTTAGAAAGGTTTGCACTCCTCCAAATTCATAATGAAGACTGGTAGTTGAAGAAAACTAATTGTACATGAGAATACTCATTAGAATGTCCATTACCATTTCTCATTAACTTCTTCACTGCATCTGATCTTTCTCGTAGAACTCCTTCAGAAGAAGAGCTACACATCTCACAACCCATATCTAGTTATTTCTTTTGTGAAGTATATGCTTATGTTATGCTAGTAATGGTAGTTTGGGGCAGGGGGGAAGTGTTATTCTCTGGTTTGTAATCCATTTTGACTGTAACTCTTGCAAATTGTATTCGTTTACATGAGTTGATCCATAGGATGGCTTTTAACAACTCAGTAATAAAAAAAAGATAAGCATCCTGCCCTTTTGATGGCTTCTTTGCATAAGTATTTGTTATGATGATGGCAGTGTGCTGTATCCTGAGCAGGTGAAGTATTAAGCACTGTCGCAATGAATAGTGGTAGTTAAGGGTAGTAATGTTTGGCTTATATGAGAAGAGTATAAATTCTGTGTTGCATGCTCATATTAGAAACGCTATCTGTGTTTACCTTCAACTATATGAATATACAGAAGCAAAAAATTATGGAGAGACAGTGTTAGAATTCTTACTCGGGGTGTTTTAAATTGCAAAGTCAAAATGACCTGGTAAGGCTTATATGCCTGTTTGGAAGGAATTTTGCCGCCAAATCTGTAATGAAGAGGTAATGCTGCCAAGGGTATACTAGCATTTCTGATGTGTAGCATCTTTGGAGTAGACGATAGCAGCTGGGGAGAGGAAGTAGCTCCATGTTCCTCATATGGCACTATTACCTTCAGCTGCTGGCGTGGAAGTTGGTATGGCTAAAGTTGGTATGGCGTGGAAGTTTAGGTGGTGGCTAAAGGTTTTGATCTTGAAGAGAAATCACGTGGATGTGTTGAAAGGAGTGGGAGACATGAGGGGAGGAAGGCTATTTATATACTCTTCTCTCATCTGGAGAGTGGCAACCTGATGGTCAATAAATAAAACAATGGCATGTGGTAGACAGTAGATACATGGGCCCTTTCATACTGCTGAAAGAGAAATAGAAATAAAAATTGCTCAATCTTTAATCTCGTTTCCTTGATATGTGAGGGGGTACATATGATTGTTATGGGACCTTCAGTGGGAACGCATTTGAGAAATTATTTGTGCATTCAACAGAATTTTTCATAAAGTTAGCAGTTTCAGGAAGCTGCTGTTTTTATTGTTTTATGCTGTTCTTCAGTTATTATGTACGTTAACTGTTGGTTTTTAGCTTTTTTATTTAGCTTTTGTTATAAAAATGGATTTCTGACTGAAGACTTCTAGGTAGTGATCATTTGAACTGGCTTGAGTTCTTACAGTTGTTGTGATGACTTATTTTTTTTAATATGGCTAATTCTTTGTTCCTCCATTATAAAGGTTGGAAGAATTTTTCTGCTACTGTGCTAAGGTTTTGATTTTTGTGTAGTTTTTGCTTGCTTGTTTGTTTTTTTTAACCCTCCCTCGAGGAATTATTTCACTTTTTTTCGAATGTGCTTATTTTATTGCTTCATTCTAAACTGGCTAACATGCTGAAGCTAAATTATTTTATGAAATGTTCTGATCTTCAAGCAAGTTAAGAGCATAAATTGTGTGGTTTCTTTCCTCGTAAGCTCAGAAAAACCTATAGAATAATATTTATATTCATGGCCTGTGATATAATAAATAGAAATGTGACTATCCAAACAAGCAGCTGAAGCAAATACTCATTTGCATCTTTCATCTTTTTAGCTATTTCCAATTGAAAAATCTGCTTCAAGATATTTCATTGAGCTGTGCTGTATCAAGCGAGAAAGGAGGATTTCAGATTTGTTAATCTAGGAATTGTTGCTTAATAAAGTAAATCCAGTTTTGTAATATTACATTTCAAATTCTAAATGAAATTTTCTGTTGAGGTTTTTAATTAATGTTGAATTAACGTTGATAGGAAGGAAAGAGATGCGCTCTTTGTAAAAATCTTGCTTTTAATTTCATTTAAGTGTATGTAAGTAAGATTTATTATCCTTAAGAAGTTTAGAAAATTCTAGTGTTCTCCTTGTTGATGTCTTGGTATGGGAAAACAGATGGTATTTAGTAAGTCGGAGATGACAGTAGTTTCTGGTGTACTGAGCATCTTGTCTGAAGCAGATACCAAGCAGTAGTAAGTGTGTGGTGTTTTGAGAGAGAGAAGTACTAAGTTACATCTCTTTTGAGAAAGTGACTGTGTCGTGACATCTGGAGTTCCTACTACTTAATTTAATGTCTATGGTTGTAGTTAGGAAAGGGAATACCTTCCTTTTAAGCTGTATTTCTTTCATGAAAAAAGAGCTGTGGATCATCTTAAAAAAAAAAAAAAAAAAAAAGGAAGAATGACTCCCTCCTTTTTAACCCTTTCCTCCCCAATTCTCCAAATAGATTTTAACTGGAAGTTTAGAAGGAGGAAAGAGAGGGGAAAAAAGGTGCTTTTGAGCATACCACTAACAAACTTGTTTTTCTTTATCAAAAATATTTGAGCTGGTTAAAACTAATCAAAACATAATCAAACCAAGTACTTGTTCTTTTGTAGCTTTGTCTGCTGCGGGAGTGTTGCTCCATTTTAAGGACCAGCATGAGGCCATGGTAGGAGGTGTTGAACCTGAAAAATGGTGAATTTGATGTTTCTGTGGAGCAGCAGCTCTTCAACTTTCTCACTTCAGGCCAGCACGAGCACGATTTTTGTTCGCTCTGCTGTAATGAGGTGCAGGTAGCCCTGTTTGGGAGCACATTTATTTCCTCTTCCTTTCTGGATGGTAGGTCAGGTGTTGGGAAGTGAGGAGCACACCAGTCTTGCCTCTCCTTAAATATGTCACTTTTCCTTAGACTTGTCAGTGCTTTTATTGGTATTGCAGAACTGCTTGGTACCCATGAAAAACTAACAGATTACTGTATTGTGGAATCCAGTGGGTCTTTTTTCTTTTTTTTTTTTTGGTCATCCTACCTACCCTTAGTGGTCTTTTATTTGCAATCCTATCCCTCAAAAGAAACGAGCGACAGACTGACCGACTGTGGCTATTTTTATACGGTGCACATATTAACCGTTGAGTAAATGTAAGAGGTTTTAAAGAGCTTATTTTAGCAGAAGCATTTGTTAAAGCCCCTATATCCATAGGCTGCATGTATATTCATTAACTATTCAGGGCTGTAACGTAATACAACAAAAGGAAGTGTATTTTAACAGAGATCTGTAGCAACCGTACACAGGCTGGCACCCAGCCAGCGGCTGAAGGCAGACGTTTCGTACGGCTGTTTCTAGTCTTGCGGCATCTAGATGTGTCAAATCTATTTCTCAAATAACGAAACTAGCTGGTACTTACTGCAGTGGCGTGATCTCGCATTGCAAAAATATGTTATGTTTGATCCCTAGAAGCTTATTGTAATCAGATCTTTGAAGGCGGTGGAAAACTGAGCCTCTCCAGTTTCACTACCAGTGTGACAAGATTTATCCTTCATAGGATCGCATCTGAAATGGTTTGTGACAAGGATGGGAAGAACTGAAGCACTGGCATGGACGGAAAGTGCATAAATATTTCACAGTGTGTTCTGTCCTGTAGGCTTGCTTATCTGTGGTAAGCCTCGGGTTTTCTCCCTGGAAGTGGCCTGGGTGGTTTCACTGGTCAGGGATGGGGCAGAGCGTTGGGAGTCTGTCCCCGACAGTGCACATCCATCCTTGGAGCTTGGACTCTGTCTATGTACAGCTTCTGCCAACTACTCCTTACGAAAAGGGATGGAGATGCTTCAGCTCTTGGTCTACTGTGTACTGTAAAAACAGCTTCTCTGTCTCAATGTAGTATGAAAATAGGAATTTGTTCCCAATCCAGTACATTTTGGTAAATTAAAGAATATTTTGATAAAAGTAAATGTCAGAGGAGAAGATATGAGATATGTAGGGATTTACTACGGTCAGAGTTTTTGTTTGTGGAACATCAGTATGATACACCAGCATGTGCTGAAGTTTAAGATTTTTAAGCTTTTACACAGATGAGAAATTGTGATTTTTATCTCACCAGCTTGTTACCTGGTCAGTTAAATGCTACTGTGCTGCCCAGTTGCAATGGGAATTACCCTGTTAGTATTAAACACCTTCCTACTGTTCTGTGGCATGTTAAGCTATCAGCAGATTGTCTGTTTTAAAAGTAAATCACTTTATAGTATGAAACTTTATAAATTCTATGTCTCCAGGCCTCTTTATATATTAGTATACAGATATATTTTAAGTCATTCTCTTTTTGTTAATAGGTTGAATGAACTGGGAGGGAAGGTTTAAAAAGAACAAATGCAGTTAAAATGGCTATGTGTGAAATATTTGAGTTTTGTTCCACGTGAACAGAAATGTTGAAAGCCCCTTTAGCAGCTGTGTCAACACCAATTTTTCTGGTTCTTAAGTACAGAAATAAATTCAAATGCTGTTGGTTAAATAATTCACATTTGGTTTAGGTGAAAAATAAGACCTAGTCGCTTTAGCAAGTGCAATGGTTTCATTTAAGTGATTTAAAAATTGATCACATTGAACTGATTTGAGTGCATTAAGGGATTTGCAGTTATGTAATTAAATTGGTATTTTAAATAGCTTTAAATGTACTGTCCAGTTGGGAAGTATGCAAGTGTATTTTCAGATAAAACTTTTTATTTGTTTGTTTTTGAAGTAAATGACTGTATTGTGTTTAGAATGTAGTTACAGACATATGACACTGAGTGGACGAATCATTTGGGACATACTGGAGGAAAGGCAAAAATGTTGAATCAGTAACATTCTGTTTTTCGGGCATATCAGTTGTTTTAATGTACATACCAAACTGATGCTTGTAGGAAAAAAAAAAATCTAGGAGCTGCAAAATTTTACCATGGATTATCTAGATAAAGAAAAATGTGATTTCCTGTGTTATGATTTTATTGAAATAATTAGCCTGTGTTTTCAATTAACAGCTTTTTGGATTTTTTTTTGTCATGTTGGATTGTTGAATTACCTTTTTTCCCTAAGGAAAAAATTCAGTAACCATGTTTAATTTGCAGAGCACCGGAGATCATACTGGGATTGCCGTTTTGTGAAGCCATAGACATGTGGTCCTTAGGGTGTGTGATTGCAGAGCTGTTTCTTGGATGGCCGCTGTACCCAGGAGCACTGGAATATGACCAGGTAGTAGAATAAATTTCACAAGCATACGTACGCTTTCTGCAACTTAAGAATTTCAGATAATCCAGGATTTCAAATGTTAATACCATCCTTTATTAAGTAGTATTTCTTCAAGTCTGTTCAGTGCTTTTAATTTAGTCTTATTGATTGTCCTAGAAACATAAATCCTGTTTCTAGATGAAACTGTATATTGCACAACTTTTCTGAATTAAAGTTCAATTTTTCTTTTATTTTTTCTTTTTTTTTTCTTTTTCCTATCTTGCAAAATAAGTGTTAATATTGAAGCTGTTTTTTCTGATGGAAGCCAAAGTTAGTGGCCACTATCATGGCGTTGTAATCTCTCTTTTACTTGCCATGAATGGGGTTGACTCTGGAATGTCTGTTCAGATGTCAGGATTAGTTGCCTTCTGAATACTTCCTGATGCTTTCTGGAAATCCAGCTTAGCGCAAAGATTTGAGAACCTATACTTCACAAGGAACAAGAATCAACTGTTGCAGTAATGCTGTGTATATGCAATGGTAAAGCTTGAAGCTATGCCTTTCGTTTGTTGGAGTTTTCAGCTACTGACGCCATTGGCATTATTGAGCTGACTTAAAAAAAAATTGTTTCTAATGAAAGATGTAGTACATTGTCTATTTAGAACACTTAAGAGAGAGGTCTCTAATTTTCTAGCATAATGTAGAAATTTGGAAGGAATGTAATCAACATTCTGACTATCCCTGCCTGGTTTTGAACTTCAGAAGTGAAGAAATCTCCTGAAAATCCCAAATGTAACAGCACTGGCTTTTTACTGACGTCTACATCTTTGATTCAACGTTCAGTTTAGGGACAGTTCTCCCAAATGTTTAGATATTCAAATCCTGATCTTCATGCAGTGGGTTTTTGGCTCCCTGTGGTTACAGATCAGACCTACTTTTCCAAAAATCCTTTCATTAAAACCACTGTCAGGGGAACATACTGATTTTTGTGATGATTTTGGTAACGTTTCATGTTTCAGTTTCCTTCATCTACACAAAATTTGATGTTTCATGGGTAGGAAGTAAGCTATGAGTGAAACACGGGTTGAGGCCATGATGCATTTAGAAGACCTTTGTGCAGGGTGTTGCTGTTAGAACGGAGAACAAAAGAGGAAACAACTAACAACCACATAATTCATTATGTTCTTTAAGGAAAAAGTGAAGGCATTTGTTCTTGGAAAGAATATGAAATAGTCTGAAAAAATTCCAAGAACTTGGTGAATTATTTCCAAGAACTTGATAAATTTATTTACTTCTTATTTTGAAAGAAACTGCAGGAGAAGATCTGGACTTAAAAAAAAAAAAGTGCTAAAATATGTAATTTTTAGAATTACCTTCACTTTTGACCCTATAGTGCTGGTAAGTAGCTGTTAAAAGGGTTGCAGCGGTGGGTGAGGAAGGACCTGTAAGCCCACTTCGTGATCTTCTGATCATGATCTCACATATAGGCAGATGCTGCTTCTGGATGTGGAACGTGGCTTTGGACCACATCTTCAGTCACTGACGATGCAGTAGGGATTTGAATGGTGGAGAACGCTGCCTGTGTCCCAATTCTTTCCTCAAATTAACTTGTGATTTGTCATGATGGCAGCAGCCCAGACTGCTAACGTGTGCCAACAGGCTTACAATATGAGCCTCTGACTTTTGTACAGAGAGCAGTAACAGTGTAAAGCTCAATCTTATGATTATGAGTATGTTTTTTCAGAATAATACAGAGTCTCATTTGAAAAGAGGACCTTCCTTCCCCTGCTGTACCACAGCCATCATGTTGTGTATGAAACCCAGGCAGATGAAGGCAGTTTAGTACCTTCGTAGTGCTTGTTGGCTCATCTTTTTCTCAGTTTTAGAAGTCAGGTCCTTATGACAGCATGTTCCTGTCACTTGTTTCTTGCCGTTTTAGGCCCAGGGCTTACATGGCTCAACCTCTGGATACTGCTGGACAGTGCAAGTAAACAGCATTGTCACCAATGACAGCTACCTTCCAAGATGCAGTGCTTCATGCAAAGGACTATATGGATTAGGGGTTAATCTTGATGCCCATAAGATTTTCTACTTGCTTTACAAGTGAATACTGAGTTGAAAAGACATTTAAAGACAGACATATCATTCAAGTTTGCTGGAAGCATCAGTTAGTAACTCGTCTAGCAACTTGTCTGATCTGCGTGTTAGAGAAGTCATGGCGGAAGAGGAGCTGGAACCTCCTCTACACCA